GGGAGTTTGGCAGGGTGGTTAGATTTAATTTAGCTTTAAGTGGGTGGGTGATCCCTTTTTGAACAAATGGTTTGGCTGATTAGGGTTTATTGCGATTTAGCAGGTTGGGCTTTTATTGAGAGGCTGCTGTTTTGCGGTGGGTAGGATTACTAGTTAGTTTGGTTGTATTCCTTTCCTAGTATAGCTACCAACAGCAGGTATGTACATAACTTATATTTATCAATGGAAAAAGATTTATTTCAAATATGTATATCGAAAATACAGTACTTATCCGACTATAATAGTCGTGTACATCGATGGAGGTGTAAGAAAGTATTACAGCAAGGATAACTGATAAATTCAACAGACTAATTCCGGAGGCTTGGACACACCTAGACCTGAAGACATTGCGAATAGTACGGGTTCCACTTCTTGCAGGTCAGACCTTGTTCGCACTCGGTGCTGCCCTGGTAGTTGATGCCGCCGCACTGGTAGTAGACCTTGACCCGGCTGGTGGCGGTTGAACTAGGCTGAGGGATGACGTCAGTTGGCGTAGTTGAAGAAGAGGAAGGGATGGCGGAGGAAGTGCTGGAAGAGGTGACCGGAGTAGTGCTTGGAGAGCTGGAAGAAATAGTAGAGGCGGCAGGAGGTGTGCTGATGCTGGTGCTGGAAGAAGTAGGAGTGACAGCGGCAGCAGTGCTAGAGAGGACGGCAGATGTGGTCTCAGGTGCAGAAGCAGACACAGAAGTAGAAGTAGAAGCAGAAGCCTCACCTCCCAAAACCTCCAAAATGCCCTGGTACGCGGGCTTCTTCTCAAAGTTCTCGTCCCAGGGGCAGGCAGCGCCGTAGCCCGGGAACGTGCTGGGCACCCAGGAGTACTTGTCGGTCCAGTCCCAGATGGTAACGCCGACACAGCCCTTCGTGTCGAGACAAGCACCGACGATGTTGGCGAACTCGGTGCTCTGCTGCTGCAGGTTGGCCTCCGTCGCTGGGGTCTGCATACGCACGTCAACCTCGGTGTAGGCGACCTCGACGCCGAGATCGGTGAAGGACTTCAGGTTGCTGGCGAGGTCCTTGCGGGCGGGGGTTTGGCCGACGGTGAAGTGAGCCTGCAGACCGACACCGTCAATCTTTCCACCGTAGGACTGGATTAGCTTGACGATGTTCTGGGCGCCAGTGGACTTGGAACCGCCCCACTCGATGCTGTAGTCGTTGTAGTAGAGCTTCACGTCTGGGTCGGCGGCAGCGGCAGCTGCGAAGGCGATAGGAATGTAGGCCTCGCCGATGGTCTTGTACCAGATGGAGTCGCGGTAGGAGCCGTCGTCGGCCAGGGCTGTTTTGAGTCAGTCTCTGTCATTGTGCAGAGGTGCTAGGAGATAACAAAAGTACCCTCGTTCACTACATCCCATGCGTAGCATCGGCCCTTGTAGTGCTTCACAACGTTTGTGATGTGGTTCTGCAGAACGGCAGTTAGGGTTTCGTTGGTCCAGGATCCGCTCGAGACTGTCTTGATCAGCATCCGATATCTACCATGACGGAGGCACGCGTTAAAATAAAACATACCCCAGTTAGGCAGCTGCTGGTGCCAAACCAAGTTATGGCATCTCAGCTTCTGATCATTGGCATCGGCCAGATCGGCAACGACGTCGCCCTTGGTGAAGGAGAATTCATTCTGAGATGGCTCGGTTGAGTCCCACTATTTGTTTCGTTCAATTGCGTCAGCCACGTATATTCTTTGGATTCTTCAGGAAGATGACTGGGTCTCACCTTCTGCGTGTTTCCTGGAGTGATCTGACCAAAGTCACCCGTGTTGTTTAGCTGGGTGACATAGGAGGTGTCGGTGAGTTCGGGGTTATCGGTTGCGGTGCCGAAGTAGAGGAGTCCCTTTGCAACGGCGGCGTCGTGCAGACCAGCTGCTTGGGCGCTTGAATTCTCCGTTAGTACCTTTGCTCGGCTCGAGATTGGATATTACGGTAGAAATAGCAGGGCAAGGAACGAACAGATGGGCAGAGACACCCACAGCCAGAGCCGTGGTCAAAGGCTGGAAACGCATTGCACTAAGTACTCGATGAAAAGAAGAAAAGAAGGTAAGAGTTGGAAAATCGGATCACCAGGATCACAGTTAAAGGAGCGAAAAGAGTTAACAGAAGAAAAGCTTATGTCGAGGTCGACTCCAAACATCTTATACGAATTCCCATTTAGACTAAGTCGACCTTCGTAGCTAAGATGAAGCAAGCTAAATTAAACCATGGATAGCCTCCACCCTAGACTCAGTTTCATTTACTCGGCATCGCAGGACTCCATCGCAGAGAATTAATGCCGGACTTCTTCAGCGGTTCGATTTGATTCATGGACGGCTGTTGGTCCGTGTGCGATTTAGAATCAAGCGTCCGCGTTAATCAATCTGAAACGGTTCCACGCCGTTGCTGACTCGGACATCAGAATGTCTCGGGCATTTCAGTTCTTATAGCCTAAATCGAGTGGAGACTTTGCATGGACCGGCGGTTATTCCTCAATGGTGTCGTTCTGGATTCAATAGTGGGTATAAGTCGATGGTTAGGGATGGCTCCACTGTCTAGAGTCACGGATAAATATCGGTTTCAAGAAGTAAATTAAGGGGATGGGGTCCTCTCGACTATTATGGATTGACGTCCGATGTCAGCGGTACTGTTGTCAGCCGAGGTTCTATTCATGGCATTCATTCTATTCTAATAATGTACGAACTAATATATTGTCATCATCATAACGGCATTCGGTCTATGTTCCCCACGCATGTTTGGAGCATGATCAGACGAACTGCATGGCTCCTATGAACAGGTGGACCCGAGCTGGAATAGCGGGGGTCCATATTCACACCTGAGAGCTGTATGGGCACACACTTGTGTCCATGTGGTGAAGCACTGACGGTCGTTGGCGGAAGAACTCCACAGTCAGATGCAGGTCTGCCATCCGCACTCACAGCCTAACGACCATCTCGCTGATGCCTCAAGTCTCGGGGAGGAGTAGCTCTTTGGCTTCCAGGAAAAACTAGGGAAACATTCTCAACCCTGCTTCCTCTTCTTTATTTCCGCAATGAATTGGCCACTCTTCGCGGTCGGCACAATGAAAAACTTCACCAATTGATCCACAACTTCAACCTTACTGCCGCTAAGAATCTGCAGAAGTGGCAGTTTCTTCCCGGCCTTGATCAATCCTCCAGTCGCAGTCTCCATGAAACAGTCCACGTTGTTCATCGTATATTCGTTCTTTGTATCCCACGGCAAGGGGAAGATGTATTCGAGATGGTCCTCAACGCTGTGCATTTCAGAAAACGCCTTGACGAAGTCCGACTGGGCATCCATGGGATAGAGGAACACAGCAGGGAACTCCAACGTGCTCTCGGGAGAGAGAGGATCGGGGACAAGACGAATCACCGCATCGTCCAAGTCAGCCGGTTTGTCCGTTTTGCGGGTCCTGATCTCTCTAGCCTTCAGTGCAACATCAAGCAACTGCTTCTCCTTGCTCTTTCTCTCTTCCTCCGCCTTGCGCTTAGCAGCGAGGCGCTCGATGACAGCCTTGCGCTCAGCGGTCTTCTCGGCCGCCATCTGAAGAGACTTATTGTTGGGATCGATAGCCAAGCCCCGCTTCGCCGCATCCTCAGCCTCAGCGATCTTATCGAGCTTCAGACACGCCATGGCGGAACGATAAAACGCCTTGATATTCGTCGGATTCAGCTTGAGAGCCGAGGCACAGTCAAGCGTACATTGCCGGTAATTTCCTAACAAATCAGCACCCCTCACACAACCCATAGCAATCGTAAAGAAGGAAAAGAGAGAAGAAAACCTACCCAGCTCCAGATTACACAACGCGCGATTGATATGAGACGCCTCCTCAACCTGGCGCAGCAACTTCTGCTCCGCATCTAAATCCTCCGGCTTCTCCCACTTATCCTCCTTCGCGAAGACAACGGCGATAGCCTTCGTATAGAACTCCTTGGCATCGATCCACCGCAACTCCTTCGCAGCTTCGTTACCCTGTTCGCGGAAGTTCTGGGCGACTTCTCCGCGGGTACCCTCATTCTGCAACGCGTGGAGGGCATCTAAAAACACATTCTCGCCATCTATACGTAGTCAAAGCGTAAGCCCAGGCCATCTTAGTAGCAATATACTCCCCCGAATCCCATAAAACACCTAACAAACAACGAAGAATGAAAATGGGGCAGGACATACTCTCATCCCCCGCCTTGTCAATATCCGTCATAAACAAGGGCGTCTTGTTCATCATGTCCACAAGCTCGTCAGTCGTATGCGACCGCACAGCCTCCATCGCAGGCGGCATCTTCGGCGCGTCCGGATTCTCCTTCTCGAATTGCTCCGCTCGCTCTTTATTCACCGGGAATGAGGTCTCGACCTCTTTCGCTGACGGGGCATCTTGCGTCTCAGGAGTCTGCTTGTTCAAGTTGAGCGACTCGTCGAAGTCGTCGGGGAGTTCTTCGATCTGGCCCATGGTGACGGATATTATCTCACTGGTGCGGAAAATAGCGGGGTGGAAGTTCCAGTGAAGTCGGCCATGGAAATCTGTATCTTTGCATCTGATAAATTGAAAGACAAACGGTGCAAACAGGAGGGGGGAGGGTTTACCCTACGTATTTCCTTTTCCGGATGCTATCCTTTACATAGTACCGTAGTATGGCTACGATCATCTGGTGGAGATCTATGGTTACTGTATTACCGTGCGATATCGGTAGGGGCAATAATAATGGGCGTCGCCTATATGCAGTCCGTTACCTCGGGCTGAATGACATGGTGGATCAAATCCTATCCAACTCTACGACGAGGCCGTCTACTCCGTCTATCGGGGCAACGCCGTTCTTCTTCCCCGCAAATCGGTCTCTTGGCCGAACCCTATACAGATCTATATAAAGGGCAATATGGAGTGGATAGAAAGATCCATTGAATTATATACTCTATAGTAATCCACTTGTTTAATCAATACCTTCTTCAAACGCATCTAGTATAATCAAACCGAGACAGACCACAAAAATGACTAAAGCAAAGACCTACAACATCCTCGTCCTCCCCGGCGACGGCATCGGCCCTGAAATAATGGCCGAGGCCACCAAGGTGCTCTCCGCCTTCAACACATCCACTGTGCAGTTCGACACCCGCTCCGAACTCATCGGCGGGTGTAGCATCGATCGCCACGGCAAGTCGATCACGGATGAGGTCAAGCAAGCAGCTCTCGCCTCGGACGCGGTGCTGTTCGCTGCCGTGGGCGGTCCGAAATGGGATAATATGCGGAGGGGGCTGGATGGACCGGAGGGCGGGTTGCTACAGCTGCGGAAGGCGATGGACATCTATGCGAATTTGAGGCCCTGCTCGGCGGATTCGCCGAGTAGGAGTGTTGCGAGGGAGTTTAGTCCGTTTCGACAGGAGATCATTGAGGGGGTGGACTTCGTGGTTGTGAGGGAGAACTGTGGAGGGGCGTATTTTGGTAGGAAGGTGGAAGAAGATGAATATGGTACGGTATCTCCATTGCTCTATTTATCTGCCCTTTACTATTACTACTATCTATCGGGGTTCTGTGCTAACGGAGAGAAGCAATGGACGAATGGGCCTACTCTACCTCCGAAATCCAACGCATCACCCGTCTCTCTGCTGAGCTGGCTTTGCGCCACGATCCCCCATGGCCCGTCATCTCGCTGGACAAGGCTAACGTGCTCGCGTCCTCACGGCTCTGGCGCCGCGTCGTCGAAAAGACCATGGCAGAGGAGTACCCGCAGGTGAAACTGGTGCATCAGCTGGCGGACTCGGCGTCGTTGATTCTGGCGACGAACCCGCGCGTGCTGAACGGCGTGATTCTGGCCGATAATACCTTCGGTGATATGATTTCTGACCAGGCGGGCTCGATAGTGGGAACATTGGGCGTGTTGCCGAGTGCAAGCTTGGATGGGCTGCCGTCTGAGACCCGGAGGAGGACCAATGGGTTGTATGAACCTACACATGGGTCGGCGCCGACGTAAGTTTTCTCATGCTTTCTTAAACTCTCAACACAGATATTGCTTGGAGTTCAAGCTAACGGTAGGTAGCATCGCCGGCAAGAACATCGCCAACCCCGTGGCTATGATTCTCTGCGTGGCGCTGATGTTCCGGTACTCTCTGGATATGGAACGTGAAGCACAGCAGATCGAAGAGGCTGTGCGAACCGTTCTAGACTCCGGTATCCGCACGCCAGATTTGGGTGGAAAGGCTGGGACGACGGAAGTGGGTGATGCGATTGTAGCTGTGCTGCGCGGGGAGAAACTGTAGAGCGGTATGGTATGTTTGATGCTACAATTAGGGCTTTGCTGATCATCTCTTCTGATGCTACTACCATTTGAATGTTTGCTTCGGACGAGATTGTTCTCTTTGTCTATCGCCATGAAAGAAAGAGCTTTGTCGATTGATCGATACGTGCTGAGCTCTTTGAGCTTGTCCGTGCAGCTCCTACATGGTCAAACAAAGGTTAACTGAAAGACATGGCTTTGATTAGTGTAGAGTGAATCTTATCAACGTCATTAATTCCTTTTATTCTAGATATACTAAAAGTCTGGTTAGTTTCTACAGATATTACTTATGAAACCTACCTGCATATTACCTTACATTCTACAAGTTCTCGTTGATCAATCTTCCAGCTGGAGTATTGACAATTGTCTCACCTTGGACGGAAGAGCCAGTACAATGTCGGCCACAGATCCCTGCTTGAGTCCAGGCTCCTGCGCAATGCGCCTGCAGAACCTAGATAGTCTCTCATCGGCCTCAAAATCCGCCCTCCTACGATCAATCGCAGACGATATTTCGGCCGTTTTCATCTGCATCTCCAAACAACTTTCGTGCGGCACGCTGAGCGCTAGACATACCAGGCCCATTCAAGACTTCATCACCACCATTAAAAACACTGAGCGATTGGAACAACAAAGGCTGCAGCAAGACTTAGGACGCTACCGTCAACGCGAACGACGGTGGCGGGCGGAGAGGAAGTGGATGCACCGCAAAGTTGAGGGCCTGGTAAAACACTCCGAAGAAATCCACAAGCAATGGAAGGTGCGATTGGAGAGGGTGAAAGGTAATGTCAATGGTGCGACAAGGGAGTTGGCGGCACAGAAGTGGACGTATGAGTTGTCTCGGTCACAGGCGGAGAGAGAAAAGATGTTGGGAAGAGACCTAAATGCGACTCCGGCCGAAACTCATCGGTAAAGGTGCTTTCCTCCGTACCTCTTTTAATTAAGACAGTTGAATCCACGAGATTCTTGTTCACATCCATGCTGGGAAGGTAGCTGTAGATAATTAATGACTGGTTGTGCGACAAAGTCCACCCTTCGGACTGGAAAAGTGGGAATGAAGTGGATGTTGACACCTCAATATACAAGGCGAAACCATTCACATGTGTGGATCTTGGCCGATAGCCAGTTAAGAATTCGTTGTTATCAGCAGCGGGACGAGTGGCGACAACCTTAACTAAGCATCGGGATCCATCTTGGAATGCTTTGAACGTTCCAGAGTCAGCTTTAATAATAGGAACCAAACACGCAGAATGCTGACAGCGATCACAGGCTTATCTGACGCAACTCGCGCGCAAAATTAGGGCGACGGAAGAAATGGAGCAGTTGATAGGCAGACAGGGACCAGTTCTCGCTGGTCGGGAAATCAAGTTCCGAGGTTCTTCGTTTCGGCGGCTTTTGATCGGGTTGCTGGCAGGGCCTGATCACGAAAACCGGCCAGGGAAAAACGTCGTAGATGATCTATCGCTTTTAAGATTTCTTGCTCCGTTATCGCAAGGGCCCAGTTGACAAGAAATCCTCTTGGGGCAAATGCCTCAACCCGTACCCTGGTGTAGACCCGAAGGGTGAAGCGGAAGTAGCAGCGATTAATTGTTTCCATCGAGAATCCACGGTCATCAATTTGTAGTATACTCCGGTTCTCCGTGGGGAGTGCCCCGTTGTAGAGGACGTTGTAAGGGACAAGCGAATGAACCTCGGCATTTGATACTGTCGGCCAAATTATTGATTCGTGCCGCGGGTCCACCCACTGCCTCTCTTCATGTGCGACCAGCAAGACATCGCCTCCTGGACCGAAAGACTTCTCTCATATTTCTTCCTGAACGTCTTCAATCTCTTCCTCTCTCTGTCATCAAAATTTGTCGCTGTCTCTCGAACCTCTCACTCACACCAGAGCGCGATCGGAAATAAGAAAAAAATTCACTGAGGCTTCCCTGACCCACATCTATACCCGCCTTTAACCCCAGACAAATTATCGGCCGAGATGAGCACACCAGGAGATTTTGACGCCGTACGGAGGGACATTGTCGCCCAACTGAAGAAGCCGGACTACGACGATGGTAGCGCAGGACCTGTATTTGTTCGACTAGCATGGTTAGTTTTTTCTCTTTTTCCTTCCACGTCTTGCTTTTCCTCAAAGGGCGACGTACCTGACACATCATCTCTAGGCACTCCGCAGGCACATACGACGCAGAATCGGACACAGGCGGTTCCAATGGTGCAGGCATGCGATATGAAGCAGAGGGTGGCGACCCAGCCAACGCCGGTCTTCAGCACGGACGGGCCTTCCTCGAACCAGTAAAGGAGAAGCACCCCTGGATCACATACGCAGATCTGTGGACATTAGCTGGCGTAGTAGCGGTCAAAGAGCTAGGCGGACCCGACGTGCCATGGAAGCCCGGCCGTACGGATTTGGTCGACGACTCGAAGGTGCCACCTCGTGGTCGTCTGCCCGACGCTGCCCAGGGTGCCGAGCACCTGCGTTTCATCTTCAACCGGATGGGCTTCAACGACCAAGAAATCGTCGCATTGGCGGGAGGACACAACTTGGGCCGCTGCCACATGGACCGAAGTGGATTCCATGGCCCCTGGGTGAACAACCCGACCCGCTTCTCGAACCAGTTCTACAACCTGCTCCTTAAGCTCGAGTGGACCCCTAAGACGCTGGAGAACGGCATTCAGCAGTTTGTGTATGTGGATCCCGATGCGGAGGAAGGCGATGAGCAGCTGATGATGCTGCCGACCGACGTTGCGTTGGTCACCGATCCGAAGTTCCGCGTTTGGGTAGAGCGATATGCCCAGGACAAGGAACTTTTCTTCGATCACTTCGCGAAGGTGTTCGCTAAGCTGATTGAGTTGGGTATCAAGCGCGACGCCAACGGGGTCATCATCAACTCGGACAATGTCAAGGGCGGATACATCTCCGCGCCCAAGAAGAGCAATACTCCAAATGGACAGTCGCAACGCGGTGGTGGTTGCCCCATGGCCCGGCTATAGATTTCTGTTTCGTGTTTACCTGTTATTTCCTTGTATATAGATAGAAGATCGGACATAGAGAACGGGTCGTTTAATAGATTTAGAAGTTTTCGAACAGTATTTCCATTGAGATCACACAGGTTATGATGAAAAGGAAAAAGAAGAATAATAATAATAAATCCAGGAGAAGAGTACTGAAGAAAAAACTGCAAAGGAGAGAGTAGGCGAAAGAAGGGATGGAGATGATAATAGGAAAAGAAACTGGAGTCGAAAAATGCGGGGAAGCTGCTCGCACAGACTGACTTATAGCCGTCCCGTCATTGGTCGACCTTCCCGACAACACATAATTTAATGCATGGGAAATGAAAAGGTTACTTTATGTCGCTTAAACAGGCAAAGAATTCCCCGGAAGCAAATGCCGCTCACTGACCCCTTTCTCCTTAAGTCATTTAATGCGGAGTGTTGAGACTGGTGTGGTGTGGACAGTTGGTGACTAGAGTGTGTGGGCCGCACGATATGTTGCTGGATAATACTTGGTTCCAAGAAATATATCTCCACAATCCACTTTTACGCTTAACAAATAAATTCATTATGTTATAATATGATTCAACAGGAAGAATAGGAGAAGCTATAGAAAACGCTCAAATGCTATGAATAATACATCATGTCTTCTGAGGAAAATATACCAAGAGGGATGTCAACGCAAATTCGGCGGATACCGCCGTGCTTCTGTCTCATCGACTCTTTTTCTTTTTGACCCTCGTGGCATCTGGTTTGCTGACATGTAAGGGCTAGCTACATTCCCGTGGCTGTGCAATCGAGCACCTGCCGCAGGTGCAACTTGCGACGGAGGCCTTCGACCGTCCATAGGCCTCGGCTGAACCTGCTGTGGTAGCGATGATGAACTCTGCGGAGCTGCAGTCAAGACGCTGGGATCAATATACTGCGGCATCGAGGTCCCCTGGTTGCTGTTCTGATGAGAATAGTTGAAGTTATTCTCGACGGTAACTGGTGCACTGTTCGTACTGTTAGCGTGATTCGGCTGGGGTGGGACAAATATGCCGTTGTTGAGTTCGGGGATACTGAGCTCTGGAAAACCGAACGCTGTATTACCGAGGTCGTCGATGCTTCCAGTAGCCCAATCGTGCAGAAGTCCGTCATGTATCATGTCCTGCAGGTCAAATGATGTATCGCTTAGTGTGCTATGCGGTTCGTGAGGATGTGTACTTGGCTGTACACTGTATTGTCTATTGTATTGCGTCGGATGCTGTGTGTTATATCCGGTTGGTTGCCGCGTAGTAGACTGTGTATTGTGAGATGTGTTATATGGTCTCTGGTGCTGCGTATTCGGCGGTGTGTTGTTGTATTGCCCATGAAGCTGGTCGTTTTGCTGTCCACTCGGCTGCGTAGTCTGCTGTATGTTATACTGGGCCTGAAGCTGCGAGCTGGATTGTGTACCAGATTGTGCATTATTTTGTACGCTATTCTGCGCGCTATATTGTCCTTGATGCAGGCCATTGAGCTGTTCGTTGATCAGCGCGGTGTCCTCTATAATAGACTCTAGACCCGACAATGAAGGGGTCTTGGCAAGTGCGAGGAGAGGTGAGATTTCAGCAAACATAGAAGCAGTCGGAGTATCAAACAACGAGGGCGATATCCTCCCTATCTCAGGTTGCGGCTGTGGTGCGGGTGCTGAAGACGTCAAGTGTCCGGCATCGATCTTCGATGGGCCCGCTGAAGATGGGCCGGGAATGTTAGTATGGCGATCAACGCCTGAAGGCTCCGTCGATATCTGGCCTTGGCCTTTTGGGCCATAAGCGCCTGAGGCCTGATGAAAGCGATCTTCCTTTCGATCGATGAGTCGCCTCCACGGAAAACCCGCCCGCGCTCTTGAGGGTTCCGAGGGGGTCCAGAAAATATGCCCCTGGAGGAGTAATTTCTGCTGGTCTCTGACCTTGACCATGTCACCTAATGTGTGCAAGGCCACATTGAGGACTTCGTCATCTGGATTCATAACGCGTTCATAGACAAGGAGCGGCACAGGCTTATTCTTCCACCAAGCTTCGGGTACTTTGTCGTCCCTGTGTGTTTGGGAGATACCTCCGACGATGATACCCGAAATCATGGCACTGTCATACATCTGGATCTGGCCTGTATCGACTTCTCCTCGCTTAGTGTCATTCCAGTAGACCCGGTAGTGGCCGTCCTTACAGTATATCCCGCCTAGCCAGCGGTATGCTGCTGTTCCTCGTTGACCATCATTCGTGATATAGTCGAACGAGATATCTCGGGTGTGTTTCTTGACGGGCACACTGCCGTCAAGAGTTACCGTCAGGCGCATCGGTAGGCCATGCAGCATTCTCCGACACTTCACGGCTTTCTGTTGGCATTTGCCGCAGCGGCTGATGTATTCCGATGCAAATGAACGGGAGATCAATTGCTGCATCGATACTCCCTTGATGTCTTCCGGGCATGTAGGCGGCGCCACCGTCGCGCTCTGGTATGCAGCATTTGTAGTCCTGCTCGTGCACGGGGAGCAGAACGTAGTCTGCTCATCATATGTGAACAAGAACTGGTTGAAGTGTTCGGTTGACACATTCCACATATCAAGGAGAGGAGATTGTACACCCACTCCGACATTCTCAGTCTCCGCCGCCATCACTGCCCAGAAGCGATCTCGAGAATCACCTCTTGTGCAGAGATCCCAATTGACCTCAGTGGCTTCAATAAACGCCTTTTCCACATTGTTGAAGCGCCCGCGCCATTCGGGATCTTTGCGGTCCAGTACGGTGGATCCGGCGTCGAGCAACTTACCGACGACAATGATACTGTCGATAGCAGAAGAATTGTTGCGGTATACGGGTCCGCGGCCTCTGTAAGGGTATTTATCGCCGTCCGCACTGAACACTAGTCTATCGTTATTGTCAGGATCCACAGCGAGTTTCACATGGGATGTAGCGGGAAAGGACCCGATATTGGCTTGCCGTAGATCTTCTTCCGCCGTCGCAGTCAGGTGTACCTGGCCATCCTGAGCAGCAGCGCTGCAATCTCGCGCGAGGTCGTCATAGGCGAATTGCATCACAGTGCGTTCAATGGCCTCCATAATAGATCGGGCCATGGCTTTGGGAAGACGCACTTTGGGTTGATTTCTGTTTCCCGTGCTATTGCCCGTGATCTGAGCGGTAGGTGTCTCGATCTCTTCGGGAAAATTGTCGATTTCCTTCGGTGCGCCAAATACCGGATACAGCATCTGTTCTATGTGACTATCTGGCCTGCTCGCTAGAGCATCTAGAGGCCTGTGGAACCCTTCCGCTGGAAGCCTGGTGGCAGGGGGTGGGTGGGGGTAATACCTACTAATGGGAAGGAGATCAGGGACATCCACCGAGCATTGCAACAGCCGAGGACCAGCATCTCTTGTCTTGAAGTCTTTGATCTGGTCGAAATCCTGCGGTCGATGTTTGTCCTGCTGGTAGTAGAAGAGCTTCCACAGGACTTTGAAGCACCTGAGATTGGTCAAGTCGCCCTTCACTCCCATGTCGATGCCCCAACTGTGATATCGAACCCACTTTTTCGCTTCCTCGCTGGTTGCTTTTCGAGCTTTGGAAGCCTCTTCTGCTGTTCGCCCACAGACTCGCCAGTTTTTGGGGGGCTCGGGTAGGTCAGCCAGCTTGACCATGGGGTAGTTGAGCTCAGGGTTATATTTAAAATCATCCTCCTCCTTTGCTGGTCTAGCATCATTTGCTAGTCTTGCGTCACTGTTTTCTGACGACATGGTATATGATTCAGATTAGCTGCACTTCGAACAAGATATAACTGAGTTCAATAGTCGAGGAAACGCAGCACAGATGTGAGACTATCAAGGTGAAAAGCAGTATGCCGTACGGCTTTTGTTCCAGGCATTCGTGATACCAACAGCTATTCCATGGAATAAAATGATAAATCCAGTTGAGGAGTCTCAGAAAGGAGTATCTTCTGCATCAAGGGGATCTTGATACCCTGGTTTATATTTTAAAGCGACCATGGTCCACACATGATTGTTCAACGCAGTCTATATATAAGACGGAACAACAAAGAGGAAATAAGGCCAGTTAAGATTATTTGAAAGCGAAACAAGGGCATTCGGCTCATGACAATGACATAAAGAGATTGTGCCATCTTTGTTTAGTAGCATCCAATGCTTGATGGATGCATAGAGATAGACAGTGTTGAGAGCCATTTTCAAATAATTGGAGCTGCCCCTGTAGGTATGCATAGCAATTTGGCTGTCCTAAGAGCGGTGTATTTGCTACTAGTTTAAGCTGCACTCTCCGGAGCCAAGAATTCTATGCTATCTTGAGCTGTTCAATGATTAGTCTAATCACCCAAAGATGAGTAAAAGCAGTAGTGCCACATATGAGTGGCATATCCCAGGTAAGTATCCTGGAGATGCTCTTTTCCTGAAGAGCAAGCGCATAGAGATGCGAGACATGGAAAAGTACGACAACGTAAGTAAGAACATTCACTATAGTTAGTGTCTCTTCAGACATATTAAGGCTGAGCAAGATAAAGTCTTGGCATATGCTCATGGAGGTCATATCAAAAAGGTGACTCGAAAGATGTCCCCATTGCGGAGACCACACTGATAAGCAGAGATATGGAGGGCACAAGAGAAAAGCAGTCGATAAGCGTAATATTACCATACACCTAAAACCGTAATATTACACTAATGTCACATGAGCCATGTCCCAGAAGACTAGTCTAGCTGTTCCAAGACTAGCGCGAGCAGAGTAAGCGAGCGCACAAATGCCCAAAGAGGCCTAGCGTGATTACCCGATCCCACAACGGGAGCCGAAGCAAAGTCCAAAGCAAAGTCGGGCCCTCGATTTCAACTCCTTCTCACCCCTCTCGCTGTCGACAATCAACCGCGATCCCGTTCGCGCCAACCGCCCATCATGTGTACGTTCTACTCCTGATCCCGAGCTGCTTCTGATTTGCAAAATTCCTGGTGTCTTGTCGTTCCGCCATTTTTCCCCGGATGAAAGAGACGGGTTGCAACTTTGTGTGGGAGTTATCGACAAGAGATGGACGGGGATGATGATGATGATGAAACAACGGCGTTGTCGGAAATACAATGGAGAGTACAGAAAGAAGAAGCTGACTGTGATTTTCTGATCTACAGCGCTCGTGTCCGGCGAGAAGACGAACTTCCAGTACATCTTGCGTCTGCTCAACACCAATGTTGACGGCAAGCAGAAGATCATGTACGCCTTGACCCAGATCAAGGGTGTTGGTCGCCGTTACTCCAACTTGGTCTGCAAGAAGGCTGATGTTGACCTCAACAAGCGGTATGTTTCCCGGTTTTTCCACCATCAGATATCTTGCAGAAGGGGGCAATTCATCATCATGAGGAAAGAGGAGGTGGCCACCAGGATCGAGTGGATGAGGACCGAAGATACAGGACAACATAGTTAACAGGATTCTTTCTCTGCAGCGCCGGTGAGCTTACCACCGAAGAGCTTGAGCGTGTCGTCACCATCCTCCAGAACCCTACCCAGTACAAGATCCCCACCTGGTTCCTGAACAGACAGCGCGACATCACCGATGGCAAGGACTCCCAGGTTGTTTCCAACCACTTGGACAGCAAGATGCGTGAGGATCTCGAACGCCTGAAGAAGATCCGCTCCCACCGTGGTCTCCGTCACTACTGGGGTCTCCGTGTCCGTGGACAGCACACCAAGACCACCGGTCGCCGTGGCCGCACCGTCGGTGTCAGCAAGAAGAAGGGCTAAGCCATACGAGAGGGTCACAATGCTGTGTTTTTTCCTTCGTACTTGCTGGTGGGGATGGGGGAATTCCTTTTTGTATGTTGGTGTGTTTTAACGAATTCTCGTGGGACCTGCACATGATCTGGTGTTAGATATAAAAATTGGCACGGGTCGGAAAATGAAACAATCATACCAATATGACATGAAACATAAAATCTTCATCCTTGTTCTAAACAGGGTCTGCTGGGACTAGACCTTCTTCCATTGGTAGAACCATCTCCCTCATGCCTCCCTGTGGCTGCAACGTTCTAGATGCTGGCCTGTCGTATACTTTGAATTTACATCTTAGATGCTCTCGGATAAATATGTAATATTGGAGGATCTGCAGAGTACTTATCAGTGGAATCGTCATCTCTTATGATAAGGATAGCGTTGCTGTTATCTCTTCCGTGTGCAACTCCTACCATCTTTGAAAATGTACGAACACCGACCTCCCAGTAGAATACTTCTTCCCTTCATTGACTGTGTGGTCGATTACGGATTGTTTCATAGTCTAATAAATGAAGCAGACGTGCGATTATTCTATGAAAAAGGATCTGTATTCTAGTCGTCGCATCGATACCCTATATATATTTCGATACACATAGCACGATGCGACCATGAAGGTTGATGTACATACATCACAGTACACAAGCAATTGAAGCACATTACGCATGAAACATATTCAGTGCGCCAGTCACTGGGCCAGCACTATATCATCAAGACACATCCAGGTATGTCTTATCCAAATCCCAACTGGCCGGTCTAGAACCATTCACCACCCAACCAGCGGTTGAAGAATTCCAGACTAGCCTCGGGTTGGTCCATGGGAACCATGTGACCTCCACCGTAGAGACGCATGAAGGTAAAGTTTCCATGAGACTTAACCTGACCGATCTTCTTGCCGGTGTGTTCGTTCTGCTCGATCTTCAGATCCTCCAGCTCGGCCGAGGCGTACTCCTTCTGGCCAGGCCATTCAAGAGCCTCCGTCCAGGCCTTGTTGCCGAGCCAGTTGCAGATGTAGTCGGCATCACCGGCGTAGATCAGCACAGGAATCTGCTCGAGAAGGCCGGGAACGAGACGGTGGTAGGGCTTCATCCAATCACCGTGGAACAGGAAGTTACGGTTGATGTCGAAGTTGCACGAGTCGTAGCCATTGACTTCGGCTCCGACTGCCTCGCGAACCTCAGCCTTGTTAAGATATTCACTCACGTAGCCCATGCCCTTGTAGCAAAGGTTGCTTTCATCCTCACACTTGCTGCGAACGTCGTAGACGTTCTGTCCGGTGCGCTGGTAAGGTCCGATAAGAGCATTGTTACAGTAAATCGAGGCAGGGACACAGACCCAGGCACTCTCGGAGTTATAGCAAGACTCGATCATCGACTTGCAACGGGGCAAGGCATTGTCCATAGATTGGCAGGTGGCCTTATCGAGGACAGCTTTGTAGCCACCCTCACCACATCCCATAGGGCGGTAGTACTCGTACTGAGTGAGGCCGTCCGTGAGACCGTTACCAATGAGGACGGACTTGAGGTTGATGTTACGATTCTTGTGGGCCAAGATCTCGGATGCAAAGACCGGAATGTAATGTCCGGCATATGACTCGCCGGCAATGTGGAAGTCCTGCTTCGCATACTCGGGGAACTGTTTGAAGAAGAGAGAGAGCAGAGCGTAGACATCCTTGCCAGCAGCAACAGTGTCGCTGACAGCGGAGCCACTGTAGGAATAGCCGACATTAACGGGCTGATCAAGGAAAATGACGGAGGCGTTAGAGTTCCACGAGAAGTCATTGTAGACAGGCTTAATGTTCGCATCGATGCTGCTAGGTCCCAGCTCCATGAATAGGCCAGTGAGGGAAGAGCAGCCGGGGCCGCCATTCAGCCAGAGCACGACAGGGTCATTCTTAGGATCATTGCGAGATTCAAAGAACCCTTGGCGAGTTAGTATCAAACCAATAACCAAATGGCGGTCAAGGGAACTCACAGTAGAACAGATGCTTGTCATTATCGTTATCGTCGAGATAACCAGTGTACTGCTTCACGTTCGGGTCAATACCGAGAGCGCTTGGATCAGCCTTCTTGACACGGAGATCGTAAGCCTCGAGCTTTCCGTCGATCTCTCTCTCCTTCTCTCCGTTGGCATTGTTCACCCAGATCTTCTGGACATCAGAACCACGGACAATGTGGTCCCAATGAGAATCCGGACGACGGGTGTGCTTCTTGGGAAGAGAGAAGACCGGGTTGTGGTCCATGCTGTCCGGGAAGTAGTTGGCAACTTCATCCCAGAGATTACGAGCGTCATCTGAAAGAGTCTTCAGCTGTTCTTGCAAGGCCTGGAGGGGCTTGGAGAAGCTCATGCCCTCCTCAGGCCGACCCAGCACCTGCTGGAGAGGCGGAACGGCCGCGGAGGCAGCTCCCACCAGCAAAGTAGCCGGCAATACTCTCATCTTGAATCACTTCGACTCCAAATGAGAGGTAACAAGGGGGTGTTTATGATGGAAGTGCGAGATGGCGATAAGAGGTACCTTGCGGTCTAGGCAAGTAGCTTATCAGTATCACGCTGCTATTTGGGGGTAGATGGGAGATAGGGCAGGGATTGCAACATACAGGAAAAACAAATCTAACAGAATCAGTTAAGTAGCTGATGAAGAATCAGCTACGGGTGATAAAAGGTCGGAGAAGGAGGAGATGGGGAGGAAGAGGAGGTGAACCTAGGTTGGTTGGGGAACGATCGCAGGCGCCAATGACGCCGATAGCAGTCTCAGGGCAGCCAATCATGTGAGAGAGGACCTCCAGGGAAACAGAAGTCACGCGCTGAGTCAGCCATGCCGATAAGTCGCTGACTCATGCAATCACGAGACCCGCGTCATCGCCTCCGCCAATCACGAGACTATCTGAAATGATCCAAAAAAGTTGACATGATTTCTTCACGCATCAACAGCTAGAAAGATACCCCGTACGCTTTGTTAATCGGTCTTTTTGTTTTATTCATTCTTTATCAAAGTCTGTGTTCTACGTCTTCTGGGAAGACTCGTCCGCCAAGATGCCGATTATGCAACCCAGTAATCAGATCAAATTCACCAATGTATCAGTGGTGAGGTTGAAAAAAGGTCCGCAAATATTCTTTCTGTTTCAGCGCTTGATTCTTGATATACCTGTTTGTGAAGACTGTTGGTGAAAGAAGGGGGAAAAGAGGGAATAGAGGGAAAAGAAAAAAAAGAAAAAGAAAACTAGAACTTACGAGATCAGCCCCGCAACCCCGCTAACATTTTTTCATCATCAGGTAAAAAGCGATTTGAACTCGCCTGCTACAAGAACAAACTCCTAGAGTACCGTTCCGGTGCCGAGAAAGATCTCGACAATGTCCTACAAGTGCCTACCATTTTCCTCTCCGTTTCGAAAGCACAAACCGCCCCGTCTGCCGAGATAGCCAAAGCCTTTGGTGCCAATACCCCCGCAGACGAGATTCGACAGGAGATCCTACGGAAAGGTGAGGTGCAGGTTGGCGAGCGCGAGCGAAAGGAGATCATCGAGCGGGTTGAGAAGGAGGTATTGGATATTGTATCAGGCCGGCTTGTTGACCCGACGACTAAGCGAGTCTACACACCGGGAATGATCTCTAAGGCGTTGGACCAACTGAGCTCTGCGAGTGGACAGATGCAACAAGCGCAGGGTCAGAACAATAATGGGGAAGCGAGCGGAGCTGGCGATGAGTCTCGCCCGGCGCAACCTCGGAAGCCACTCTGGACTGGTGTTACGCCCAACAAATCGGCGAAAATACAAGCCCTCGAAGCTATGAAGGCACTTATTGCATGGCAACCCATTCCTGTGATGCGAGCACGGATGCGCCTTCGCGTGACCTGTCCTGTGCCGCTTCTGAAGCAAAGCGTCAAGTCTGCGGTACCAGCGGCCCCGAACAAAGAGAAGGAAGCTTCGTCCGGCGGCAACTCCAAATCCAACAAGAAAGGCGGCAAAGGATCGAAGAAGTCCGCACGTCAACAAGATTCCGATGCTGAGGGGGCTTCTGATGCCGAACCCCCGCAGCCAAAGGCACCGACGAACGTCAAGGATAAGATCTTGAGCTTCATCGAGTCGGTCGAGTCGCAGGATATTGCAGGTGACGAGTGGGAGGTTGTTGGTTTTGCCGAACCAGGCGCATTCAAGGGACTAAATGAATTTGTGGGCAACGACACCCGGGGCAGAGGGCGAGTCGAAGTGCTAGATATGGCCGTCACTCATGAAGACTAAGCTGCCAGGAGAGTGATTGATTCAAGCAACTTGCGAGCCTCGGACATGGATAGATCCCTGTATAGATCTCACATGTGTGCTATGATTGATGATTATTCGGATAGATGTCGGATACCAGTGCTAACGAAATGATTACTTATGACGATTTTGCGGTTGGTTCTCAGAGGATAGACATACAATACATCTAAATTTGACTCGTCTCCTACAAGGCATGCATGGCGGGACGTGAGCCCTAAAAGAAGGATGGTGACAACGTGACCCAGCTCAACCCACTCACTCCCACTGTTAGGCTAAGCATACTTCTTCCTACTCCATCCTGCCCGGAGCTCCGGCAATTCAGTCGTAAATCGCTCAGACCCCGTTGCCACCTGATTCGATAGCTCCAAGCTAGCGTCCCCCACAGCTGCAAACCGTCTCCAAAATCCGTAGTCGCTTCTCTTGATAAACCGAGTCCAGTTTACTGAATGGGCCGTCAACTTGCCGAGGGTGGGGCATGACCGTTAGACCATCGCTGGATTGGCTATCTCGTTTGTTCTGCCTTGCTTTTGTACCATTCCAAAGGCCTTTGCATCGTTTCTGCAATGTTGCCAAAGAAAATGAGGTGACAATGGCCAACATAGGCCGCATAAGGTTTCCCTTCGCCTTGGATGCGTTCACCGGCGAATGCTAGGTACTACAATGTCGCATTCATTACTCACCACCATCCCGTTGAAAGGACTAGTGCTGCAAGGTGCTCCTGACCTTGGGTACGACGATCTTATTGCTGGATCGCATGCACGCCTGTGGGTACTCAAAACCGTATCAGGCCACAACGTCGACTCTTCAGCAAGACATCCTTGCTTCTTTGGGCAGTCTCCAAGTGCACCGGCACAGCGGCACCTCCAAAGGCCGGGCAGGACAGCCAATACTCCACACCTGAGGCTCCACTCTGCACCTGGATAGTGGCAGAGAAGTGGAGTCGTCGCCTTTGTATTAAGGCATCATTGGTGCGATCAGTGGCGGCGCACGGTGCCTGGGGCTAAACCTTAAATGGAGAGGATCCTCATTCGGTGTGGAGCTGACGCTGGAAGTTGAAAATAACCAAGATTCCCGGTTCTCGTCAGCGATGTGGAGTAACTGTCAAACAATTTTACTATGGGAGCCGCGAGACGCCAGAAATCGCCACGGTCCGACTCGGAATCCCCGCCGAGGGAGCAAGACGCGGAGGACAATTACGATCAGGCGGTCCGTCTGCCCTTCTTGTCATTCCCCTCAGTCATCGGAAATCGCGGGGCTGACCAGTGCAGGGAGAGCTGGATGATGGCACAGATTCCGATTATTTTGAGGAATTGTGAGACACTACCTCCATGAGAGATATCGCCCGCCCTCATGTTAACCTTCCTAGCGCGAGCGACACCACCTCGATCAACTCGATGATCACCGCCTATCGCTATGAAAATGGGAGACGATACCATGCTTACAAGGACGGTGCTTACTGGTACTATAATCGCGTGACTTTCTACCAAGGATGCGGATGGCTAAGATGATCAGGGGTCCGAACGACGAGACCCAGAATGAACAACTCGACATAGCGTACGTACCGGGCGCGAGGTCAACACACACCCCAACACTCTGACATGAGATCGTAGCCATCATATGTTCACAATGCTTCTCGGAAACAAATTGTGTCTTGCCCCTATCTCTGATGATGTCCAAGTAAGGTCTAATCGCATCGACTGGAAGCGTGGCTGACGGAATGCAACAGAGAGTTCTCGACGTCGGTACTGGAACGGGAATATGGGCTATGTTGGTGTCAAACAGTCTAAATTGATCGTCCATGATTGCTGACGTGTGCCTAGTGACTTCGCAGATGAATACCCTTCCGCAGAGATCATTGGAACTGACCTATCACCGACTCAACCCAGCTTTGTCCCACCAAACCTTCGGTTTGAGATCGACGACGCAGAAGATTCATGGGCATATCCGGAGAACCATTTCGATCTTATCCACGTGCGTGCGCTCTACGGGGCGATTTCCAACTGGCCAGCGTTCTATCGCAACATGTTGATGTAGGTTGCACTAGAGCTCCCTGTTGAACACCACGCTCGTTTGATCTATTGTAGATACGCAATTTCTAATTGCTGCAGCGGTCTACGGCCCGGTGCATGGTTCGACCAATTGGAGATGTCAATCCAGTTCAGATCGGATGACGGCACGGTGACCCCCGACCACATCCTGGCAGAGTGGTCACGTATATTCATCGAGGCAGGAGAGAGATTCGGCAAAACGTTTCGTATCGCGACTTAGCCCGCCAGCACATGATTGATGCCGGTTTTGAGAATGTCACCGAGCGGCGATTCAAGCTTCCTGTTGGTCCTTGGAGCAAGGACGAGCACTATCGACAGCTGGGACGGTGGAATCTGCTGCATTGCGAGCAGGGTATAGAAGGGTGGTCCATGGCACTGCTCACCCGTGTGATGGGGGTAAGGCCCTCTGTCTAGCTCTTCTCGGTTTCGGGACAATTGAATCTATTCGCACGATACTAACACCGTGAACAGTGGAGCTACGAGGAGGTGCAAGTATTCTTGGCCAAGATGAGGAAAGGCTTGCGTGACTATTCAAAGATCCATGCCTATTTTTACGTGTAAGTCCACGGCTTGTTTTGGTAGGGAAAGCTGGACGGTGGGATCAGCAGCTGACTGTTTTTGTTAAATTGTAATAGCGTGAGCGTCCACGGTCAGAAGCCGCTCAAAGAACGCGTACCTTGATGTCGCCAAATACGATCTTCACGAGTGCCAATACGCAGGATAATGAGATAGGGGATAGAGAGGAACCTAGGGTGGCGATGATTGCGTTATTTAGACGTTATACTTATGTGGGTGGTCTTTCGATTTAATAGCTGATTTCTAGCAGACCTATTTTCAGCATACGACTGGGGAGAATAATAGGGAGGCCTAGATTCCTGACTTATATTTAGTTATTTACGAAGAGCAATGAACCTGTGCAATTTCAGTGATGTTAATCCACGAATCCATACCAGAACAAGCCAAATTCTCGACACCAATCCTGCCAATCAGGACATATATCACAAAAGCCTCACCCTCAAGCGCCCTAACAAACCAACCAAGCCCCCAACACCCCCAAAGCAACCCCCAGCCCCGCCAAAAACACCAGCATATTCCGGACCGCCCGTCTATGATGCACCTCCATCGTCCTGGCAATCCTCTCCGCCCAGCTCGGCGGGTTCCCACTGGGAAACTCACAATCCGGAACCTCCTTCCCCAGAAAGCGACACAGCGGCTCCCAGCCATCGTCAACACTCCACTCCAACAGCCTCTCCCCCAACCCCAACCCCCTAATCGCCGCCACATGATTCTCATAAACCCACCTCCCATTCGACTCAAAGCTTCCCCGAAAGAACCTCGGCATCATCGTCCGACACATACACTGGCGAATCCAGAACAATTCCGCACAGAACCAACTCTTGCACCAATCCCAGTCCACAGGGTTGCGATCAAAGTACCCCATAGTCAGCTGCATGCTTTTATACCAGCCGTCGAGGTCGCGACGGACATTGAGGATGACTTTGGCGTCCGGGTATGCGGCGATGAGCTCTGGGGCGAATTCCGCCGCGATGAGGTCTGTGACCCCGACGCAGCCGCCGAGCACGGTGTCGAAGTCGCTGGCTGTGAGGGTTGTCGGGGGCCCGGTGTATTTCTTCTGGAGGAGCCGGTAGGTGGCTTGCAGGGAGGAGGGCGGCAGGATGGTGTCGAAGCCGTGGTGGGTGTGGTTTATGTCTAGCATGTGCAGGGCTTCGCGGAGGGATTCGGTTCCTGAGCGCGAGATTCCTACGGCTAGGACTTGCATAGGCTTGGTGCGTTTTTGAGAGGGCGAGGGGAGGTTGTAGAGGGTGTGGTAGAGGGGGTCGAGGGTCATGGTGGTGGTTCTTTTTCTTCTTTTGCTTTGGTGGACCTGGTTTATTGTGATATTATATAGAGTTCTTATAGAAGGACTGGGAAGGGTTTAGGATATAAACTGTGGGAGAGCCAAATAATATTATAATCGATTGGAAACTAAAGGCTTCACTTGATTGAAAAGATCGAATAGACAGAGGACAAGTCTACAGGAAAAGAGGAATTGAGTAGGACGAGGACGTAGACTGGCAACGACACGTTGGGAAAAGCCCACATATGTATACGCTTGACGCTTTCGGACAGAACAGTTCCATCTTATCATTATGTGTACAGAGGATGCATAAATCAGGCTGATCAGACCCTCGTAGTGTTGGCCTCGGACCCACTAAGGCCTCCCACATGGCCCGTGTGTCTGTTGATTGGCATTCGCCAAGTTCAGCCTTATTCAATCACGGCAGTGTTTGGTACTTGTTGGTTCAGGCTTGTTATGTGATACGTGCAAGGCGAGGCTTGTGCATTGTGTGAATTCAGGTAGAGTCGGTAATTGAGGGTTCGTGTGTTCAAACTTGAACTTGATGTGGGAATATTGAATCTATATAAAACATTCTATTCACCTTGGGTTCCTATTCCAGGATAACCCTACACTGTTCTAGGTCTGTCTTCCTATTTTCCATGTTCTACCACGATCAAGAGATAACAGAAACCATATCTAGACTGACGGAAATGATACCAACAATGTTATTTGTAAGGGCGCTCGGCTAAATATGTCTATAATAACCGACATTGAAACCCGACAATGAACACTATATACCATAAGCTCAACAAAAGGGCCCACTATGCTATTAACCCCAGTTCTCAAATGTCTATGTAAGGAATAGACTAAAATATAGATGCCAGCTTCTAACCTACAACTACTTCATGATCTATACATTACCTGGTTGGGGTTGTAGCAACCTCTGTATCCCTTGTTAACAAATTGTTCACTAGGTGCCTACTTGGGTTTATGAAAAATGGATAGTAGACTGGAACAATATTCCGGAGTGATCACCCAGACCAGGTCTACTAAATGTACCGGTCGACATGAAGATACTACCTCGCATGCCTATCAAATCCTGAGTCACAGGCACAGCAACTGGCCTCTACATAAGAACACACATTCTGCCCTGGTCCAAAGCTATAAACTGTAATTACCTTAATGACATGTGACTATCCAGCGTCCACAGTCCCTAATCCACCAAACAGAATTTCACCAGAGTCGAGGTGAAAACTACCTAAGTTTCTTTCGATTACAAAATCGACTACTCGGCGTATTTCACATTCCACATAACTCTAGGATAGTTTCTCGAATTTCTCATCAGAGGTCGATCCATACACTTACACTACATTCCCTGCCTTCGGCATCGATAAAGACCACACTGGAGCGCATATATTGTTCTGGTCCCGCTCTCTTGGTCTTCGGTGTGCTTCTAGATTAAACTATGGTACCTAGTAATGGGCACAATGCAGATGCTGTGCTTTGGCTGGATTAAGAGCATCCAGTGAGGATGATAGTAGGTAGAGATTGTGTTTGGGGGGAAGTGGTGAATCCCAAGTGACACAGTCTGGAGTGTTTTGGATGACATGCACAATCTGCAGTACGAATTCAAGAAGAAAGTTAAGATAGTTCTCCAATGAAGAGTTTGAGGACTTGAATTCGTGTTGGACGGCCACAAACATGTGAACGAATCTGGATGCTCACGTGCTATCATTAAAGCGGCGACATGTGTATTGAATCAGGTAGTCTTTGGATCTTTTTGCCAAATATGTTTAGCACTGTACGTCATTTCATGATAACCGTGGAGATATCCAAAGAAACCTTGGGACAAAGTTACATCCTAACCAACATGACAAGCAGGACATCAGCCAAAGTGCAACGAAGCATAAACTTAACCTCACAACAATGTCGAGTCTATTTCCACAACTGCCGACGCGTCCCCAAGGCCAGACCAATAATGCGATAACGGTCTTCATCTTATTGGCAGTGGCATCGCGTGACCGACATTCTGGGTAACGCGGATCGACGTTGGGTCGAAACGGTTTGTCGGTCTATTGTCTTGGCGGCAACGATTAACATCCCATGGTTGCCTCAAAGCTTGACTGCTCAGTGGGTGAGGGGAAGAAGTCTAGAAGCCGGTTCGTTTCTATGCATGTCCTTACTTTTTGCTTGGCTGGGCTTACTCCGCGGAAATAAACAAGGGCTTCTTGTTGGTACACTGATTCTTCTATTCGTCTAATAATCATGTACGTACAGTACAATCCACCCCGGGAACCCCGGGGGGAAAAAAAATTTCAAACCTCAAACGGGTATACGCTTAAAGCACAATACACGGGAAACCGTTCGCTTTTTGAAAACATCGCTCGTTGCATGCATGGAAGGTAAGTGGAGGTCCAGGTTGGGGGGTTATTAAGTTTTGCCCCCTCGCGTCAAAGCGGCGGAAAAGTGGTCCTCGTAAATCGGGTCATCTCGAATCATGACCAACCGCCACACTACTCGGGAGAAATAGGGCGGGAAGAATGGAAGCGCACACCAGGGTCGTCGATGATTAAAATATGGGAAATGGGTCCGAGTAGGCAAGCGCCGTGTGGTCGGACGCTCACGTGACGTAAGAAGTGAAGAGGGAATTGACTTGGCCAGAAGTCGGTTTACCCACAGATTTGCACGGCATTCAAAGCACGGGTCAAATCTTCGGGGGCAAACGGCATGTAGCTGCCCTTGGGGGACAGCGGGGGTGGGGAGATGGCCCGGACCACGGGTGACGTGTACCGGATGGTCTCCTTGAGGTGGGCGATCGAGTCCTGTCGGATCACTTCGTCGAAGAGAGTCATCATGGAGCTGCTGTAGCTGTCCGGATCATACGCAGTCGAGGAGGTGGATCCATTGTTCTCCTGGCGCTCGTCGTCGGAGATCGTGGCGGAAACTAGTCGATGTTAGACAGCGGTCCAGCACGTGGGGGTTAAGAATTAAGAATGCGGCAAGGGGGACACTAGGAAGGGTAGGGTTACGTACCATCAGACAAATGCTCTGGGGCAATCGAGGGAATCTCGTCAGGAGCCACACTATGCTCCTGGACACGAGGCCTCAAATAGTCGGGCAACGATGCGCAAGGGGACAAAGAGAGATCCGAGGAACGAGGGCGTTCGTCCTGGGCGTCGCCAAAGGACCATGCCGCCAGCCTCTTTTGATGCTCGCGGTCAAATGGGCCCTTGAACTTGGACGGTGGAATCTCATGGCGCTTGTAATACTCGATTTTGATGGGATTGGACTGGTCCTTCGATTTCGAACCGCTAGACGAGCGACGAAACACCCTGCGAACCTTTTCGCGAAAACTCATGTTGGCAAGCGGTACCCAAAAATCCTCCTATTTCCCGTGTGTACAGTCAAGTGGTTTGAACCGGGTGTCTATAGTTCGATGTATGGGAACAAGCGTCAGATCCAGTCAGCAACTCACAGCAGCAGACCTTTCCCGAGAAGGGAATGGACGCGAGGGAGAGCGTGCAAGCACAAGCGACAGTCGTAATTACGGACAAACTGTGATATCATCGTTTGCATAGACCAGTATGAAGGAAAGAGGTTGGTGTGAACAAGGAATGGGAAGAAGAAGAAGTAATGAGAGAGAGAGAGAGAGACAGGAAGTTATAGAATAGATAGCGGGTTTGGGGGGGGGGGCGTGGAAGGAATATAGCTCAGACAGGTTAAGTGGTAAACTACGGAACATCGACGGAATCCCACTCCAGTAGTTGGTTACATGGGTCATACCGATGATTTCATAGGTTTGGGGGAGTTTCCATTAGGAGCGAAATGCAAAACGCCGGTGGTCATTGGTTCACCGGGGTTGTGCGTACCAGGTACTGGAATACCAGACGACGAGGCATACCCGACTGTACCGTCGGTACCGTATTAACCGGGCCTAAGGTTATCGTCTACTTCCCTGCTAGGTTTAGCACGGCGCTCTAAGCCGCGATAAGCCATCGCTTCATCCGGTGAGACAATCAGAAAAAGAGGGGCGTCAAGTCAACGTGGAGATTTCATTAGCACTGTCTCTGTCTCTATCTCTGTGTGTGTGTGCGCGCACATTAATGATTACACACAGTACAGTACTGGAACCCAGACCACGATCCGGTTTTCCCGAATGGTTTAGTCGAGTTACCTATCGCATTGACAATGCGATACGTCCTCGATAAAGTCCAGAGTCACTGGAGAGTTTACCTTTTGGAGGAATCTGACGGCTTATCTGGGGGCCAATAATAATTAATTTGATGACTGTGAGGGCCAGGCCAACTGATCGCCTGCCCAGCAGGCCTTTCAATGTGAAAAGAAATGCCGCAAGGGTTCAGCGATGGCCGATGCCCGGCTGTCTCCCAACCCTGGCCGATTGATTACCTTACCTTTTCTCGCCCCGTTCCCAATCAAACAGAAATCATCGGGTTGCGCCGACCTGTGTGTGCAGGGTGCATCAAGGAAAGGTACTACCCTTTTCCACCAATCCTACCATGGTTACGTTTGCTCGGGTGGTTCGCCGCTGGCCAAGCATTCCTGGCCGATGGGTTGCAAAGGGATCTCTCCCTCTGGAAACTCCCAATCAGAAGAAACGATAAATTACCGTGCTCAAGAATGACAACTGGTTGCCCTCCCCGACGCGCGGTATTGGTAGTTCGCCCACCTGCTGCATAATGGGGTGGCAATGGGACACCCATGACTGAAAAAAAGTCAGAGGAATGCAATGCTGTCGTGTCCTGCAGCGAAGGATTCCAGAACGTCCATCGGCCAAGCCGGACCGATCGACGTGCCACCACCGAGCCAGCCAACCCAAGGAACCGCAGACTTCGAAGAACCCGAGTGTCACCCGGATGTAACATGCGGCGGAATAAACATTATTGTTATCGATCATTACCGTCGTCGATGCGACTCATATCGAGATCATTGTTCGTTCATGTATGCAACGTCAATCCTTGGCCGGGGCGGTGACTCCGACCACGCTTCCCATCGCCGTTCGATGCCGTCAATGGCGTTGGCACAGTGGGTATACAGCGACTAGAGACACTAGTAATTTTTTGCTAATATCCATCAATAATGTGATTGATGATAAGTGGGTGTGGGCAAATGATATGTCTGGGATGCTGATGCCGGCGGACCCGTCGGCGTCCCCCACTCGGCACGCTGTTTCCGTGTTGCGGGTAGTCTACATAGTTGGCTGGCTTTATGTAGGCAAATATCTCTCAACTGTTTCAATAACTAGGCCGGCTGGCCCAATGGCAAGGCGCTTGACTACGAATCAAGAGATTGCAGGTTCGATCCCTGCGTCGGTCAAAATTTTTGCATGTTTACTACATACACTGTAGTTACCTTCCTTTATTTCTCTTACCTTCTTTGTTTCTATTTTTATTTCCCTCTGCTGTTGATAACTACTAGTAGTACTCGAGTGCTCGAGGACGCTTCGGCTGTGGCTGCAAGGGGCTGACGGAGTCTTTGTTGGGCACTCCGCTGCGTATGACCGATGATGTCACCCCTGTCCACCTTCTGGAACATTCAGCTTCTTCACCTTGTCTTCTTTAGGCATTTATGCATGCTATACGCATCATTGGATGGCCCTTCACACCACAATCGGCAAGGGACACTAGTAATCCAGGCCAAGTAACCATGAATAACTTCTGTCCGTTGGCTGGCTGTGTCTCAGCCAGTGAATATCCACTTAGTCATAGAACCTTGACCGTCAACAAGTCAGGCCGGGTCAAGCCCTGCACGGCGCACACTGCCATTTTTGTCTGGTCTCTGGAGACGTAGCTCTACGTAACCGCAAGGCCACACATTCTGGGCAAAGAGGCTATTTTAGGTTGATAGGCAGCACACATTCTTGGTGATATGACTCGCTTGTCGACCAAGCTACAGACTCTACGAGTATATGCGTATGCCTTTAAAGACAGTATAGCTTTGTCAAATGTGTCTCTGCATTGTCACTGCACATGCATCAACATATTCTGATTGCCTAAGGATCAAGTCCAACCATCAGTCCGCGTGATGGCTAGGTCAAGTGCAAACTTACCCTACCCGGAAACGTCGTTCGTCCGGAACAACGATGGTCCGCGGTAGGGTTAGCTGTACCCCAGCCTTGCTAAGAGTCCAACTACTGCAGGCACAGCACGGATCGCCGCCACCGAAAACAGCGGACTGCTTCGAATTCAGATTATGCCTCTCAGCGACCGAGAGCTCCTGGGATCCTTCTTCGGAAATTTCCAATCCCATGATCGCATCAATCATCTGAAACCAGCGGATGTCTGAGTTCGTCTTTAGGGTTAATTGAATAGATATCATGCCAATTGGAGGGGAGGCAAGGTGTTTGTTTCCGAACTATGGCAGCAGCAAGACGAGAACGAGTAGCCATGGCTGTAAAACCTGAACGATTCCCCTGTAATTGCTATGCCCATTTGGCAAGGTGATAATCACAATTTAGATTGCTCTCCTTTCCAGCCATTTCTTCCCCTTAGAAAACAAGTTTCTGTAGCGCGCAAGGATCGAAAGTGTCCCTTGGATGCGCCTCATGTGACCCGCGCGTGACCAGAGTGTGTTCAATGTTTACTTTGGTTGCATGGTTTGCGATTGTCAATTTAGAGCTCGACACTCTTTATTCTTACTCTCCTCTTTTGCCACTACAACGCTAGCTACTCCAAGACATCTCGCGACGGCGGAAAATTGTTGTTTGGGCAGAGCGCGGACTGCCCTCCCGACCATCGCGGATTAACGTTCGCCGAACGAATTAATTAGCATTCGGAAAGAACCAACATACCAGGCAGACCTTCACCCACCCCTGATTCCACGCAACCTGTCCGTTTCCAGACTGCCACCGCTTGAATTGAGTCGCCCAACGCCTCAATTCTGTATCAACCTTCCATCCTCCATCACTCTCGACCATCCTGTAAGTCTCCATGCGACCCTCGGAACCCCGCGCAACCTCTTGTCGTCATCGATACGTGTCCCAACCTTCTCTAACCCTCCGCTCGCAACCAGATTATCGTCGACCACCATGGGCAAGAAAGGAGGAAAGGGTAAGAGCAAGAACAAGGGCGGCAAGGCCGGCGGTGCCGCCGCCGCTGCGGTCAAGCAGGCCACTGATATTCAGAACCCCGTGTAAGTCGCACTTTGCATCACCCGCGCCGGATCTTTCCGGGACGGGCGGTCGCGCGTCTCTGCAGCTATACTGACATCTGCACAGGACCCCTGGTCATGAAGTTGAGGAGACCGTTGCGAAGGGAGAAGGCGAGGTCAGTGATGTTGTCACAGAACCTACTGAGGCCGCCACGGCGGGCCCTACAACTACTGTCCCCGATGCGACTCCCAATCTTCCCTCAGCCGCGCCGCCGGCCTCCACTGAAGAGGCCAGAGAGATCTTGCAGGACGCTGTAAACAAGGCGGAGACTGGCCTGGCTGACAAGGCCGAGTTGGCTAATGGAGAGGCAATCGGAGCGGGTAAGTAGCATGTTTGTTGTCCTCCACCCAATACTCCTAGCTGAACTCTTTCTTTCCACAGTCGAACCGTCCGTGACAGAGGAGCCACTCAAATTGACCCCTGAGAACTTGGCCCCCACTGCTGGAACGGAAACCTCCCTCCCCGAGCGCCCGAAAGAGACCGTTACCGACACCTTCGATGCTCATGCTAAACGGCCCTACGAGGGCAGTCTGACGGCCAAGGACGATGAATTGCCCCATAAGATTGCGAAGGTGGATGATACAGTTGCGGCTGCCGGTGCAACCTCTGGTCATGTTGCTGAGACGGGATCCTTAGCCAGGAAACCTGAAGTTCCCGCCGAAACGGGTAGCGTGCAACCTCAGATTGTGCCAGGCCTCGGTGCTGACCCTAATGACCATGTATCAACCGTCCTCAATGTCCCCGGTCTCTCTTCCCTGGAGGAGAAGTCTACGGCCCCCTCTGCTACTGAGGCATCGGCTGTCCCTGCCTCTAGCACCTCCACCGAGCCCAAATGCGCAGAGGACATTGCCCCAACGGGAGCCCCTACCTCTGATGTCAGTGCTGATGCTACTGAGAAGCCCAAGCAGTCTGAGGTCCCTACGGCAGAAGAGGAGACGATCACCGAACCTAAGGGCGCAGAGGACATTGCTCCGACGGGAGCCCCCACTTCTGCCGGCAAAGTTGATCTTGTTGAGCAGCCCAAAGACTCGGAGATTTCTAAGGCAGAGGAGACGGTCGCGAGCGAGCCTCCCACCGCTGCAGCAGTTACCAGCGAACCGGAAGCTCCGTCCGGCGCGACTGCTCCTTCAGAAATCGACTCGACCGCCAAGGCTGCTTCTGCAACCGCCGGCGCTGGTACCGCCACTGCAACCTCTGCTCCACCTGCCGCTGAACCCGTCCTGAAGGTTCCCTCCAGCATTCACGACGGCCCCGACTCGAAGGTTACTTCTGCCGACCAAGCCGTGTCCAAGGTGGAACAGGAAGCCCAGGTCGCGTCCGACAGCACTCAGGCTGCTCTCAAGGACAGCATCCCTCAAGAGAGCAAACCGGCCCCCGAGGTGCAGGAGGGCACTGCAGCGGTCAAGGCTCAGCTCCCAGAGAATCAACCTGCTGCTAAGGAGGCACAGGAAGCGGGTGCCGGCGCCGCAAAGGAGCCGCAGGAGATTCAGAAGCCCGAGGAAGCCAAGACCAAGGAGCCCCGTGCAGTACAGGATGCTCAGGAGGAAAGTGCCGCTACAGCCAAGAAGCCGGAGGAGTTGAAGCCGGAGGACATCAAGAAACCCGAAGAGGCCAAGACGAAGGAACCCCAGGCCGCACAGGCCACGCCGGCCGATACCACCAGCAAGCCTGAGGAGGGCAAGAGTCTTATCGACCAGGCCAAGGAGACCGTGCAGACCGAAGCCAGCAAGGCACAAGAAACTGCTAAGGCCGAGGCCGCCAAGCTCGAGAAGCGAAAGAGCGGTTTCTTCGGATGGTTCAAGCGTAAGCTCAAGGGCGAAAAGGCCTAACGGAAGTAACAGATTGATATCTTCTCTGTTGTCGTTTTGTTTTTATTTTTGGCTATTCGACGGATGGGATGGAAGCCCACGGAGACCCTATTTCCTGATACCCACGGACCCAAGAGGGATGGTTCAAGAGAGAAAACCGAAAAAGACGGAAAAAATATATTCAAGTGATATATCTTCATGTATGTCAATGGCGTGTATGATAATCGACGTGATAGGATGGATACCAAAAGGATGCCCGACGGTTGGATGGGATGGACATTCTGTCGTGTTGGTTGTAAAGCAATTGCCTGTTCTGCTATTAGTTAATGATAATCAAGAAACTTTTTCTCTTTCGTTTGTTTGTTTCTCTCTTTTTCCCTTGTTTTCTTGTTCTGGAAAATTGCGCCTGGCAATGCAATGGGCTGATACTAGTATCTGACCTGGTGCCATTCACCGCCATTTGCCCGTACTTTTGACATGCAGGATGGATTATGATACACATCCTCCTGATCTGATATCTATTTTTACCCTCCCGACTGAGAGATCTCCCAATTTGGGCATGTATATCAGAGAACTGCGACGAAAAGTCGAGCGGGGCGGTGTTCATTTTTTCGGGATTGATGTCCGAAGCATATCGACTGGCGATCTAAATATGGAGTCGAGGAATAGGGGGTTTATTGCTTTTCTATGGGTTGTAGTGTCACTAGCGGGGTGCACTATTGAGAACATGACTTACTTACTATATGGCTGGATGATGTTTTAGCTTTTGTTAACTTTTTCTTTCTTTCTTTTTTCGTTCTTTCTTTATTTTTGGTGCTCTTTTTGTTGGAGTATTCTGTAAGCGAAGAATAAGAAAGGACCTTGGTTGTTTTATATCTTGGTATGAAGGCCGTGGTAGACTATAAGCCATGCAATATTAACTACTCTCATATAGAGTTTAATTATGTTATGGGTTTCAACATATGTATTCGACTGGATCTGGGCCATGGGGGTGAATTAACTGGAATGATTGACATATTGTATTTTGAAGGTAGAGATCTGCGTTTCGGGGGCATTGTATCGAGTCAGGCTAGTTCCACTTGGTGCAGCCACGAATGAATTTCACTAGAACAGTGCAATCTCAGAACGAAGTGCAAGTATAACCCGAACACCTAAGGATATAATAAGAAGATAGATTGCAAAACGGAGGAGCATCCCATGCTCTAAGACTCCTGTATGAGACGACTCAGTCTCTTGCTCCTGCGAAATCCCCGAAATCCTCAAAATCGCCTTGAGGTCCTCACGGCACTCGGCTGGCATCTGTCGCAAACGTATCCCTTTGGCCAATGCTTTGCATTCATCATCCATTATCGTTCTATCATGCTCGAGCAAAATCCTCGCAATTTGAAGCGACTTAGGGTTAAAGCGACCGTCAGAATGTGCAATACCATAGAGCGCTGCTGATAGTGGTGACTGGTAATTTTGAGGCAGTGGTCTTGGATGTATGCTACCTACCTCGGTAAACAGTAGTCGTACTATACCTACAGCTCTAGCACGCATTGCACAGACCAATGGGGTTTGGTACTACGTGCTCAACGCCGAGGCGTTGGCCCCCTTATTCAGTAAGTAGCAGACGAGTTCCTCGCTACCCCTTGTTGCAGCGTTATGGAGAGGCGTTCTTCCATCATACGCCGGTTTCTCCAGGAGCTCAGGTGCGGTTTCTAGCAGTAAGTCTAGCACTGGTTGGTTCGCAGGGATGTTGAATCTGGAGCTGCTCATTACAGAGTGTAATATTGTGAGGTGTTCGCCGTAGCAGTCTGTTGCACTGGCTATGTTGGTTCCAGTGTCAATAAGCTTCTTGATGCTTAAGGGGCTCTGACATGCGCATATGCGGCCGAAGGGAGTCACCTTCGGTGATTTTAGCCCCTTTATCGTATACAGCGTTGCATACTTTCTCGTCCTCGCAAAGAACGATGCTAGCAAAATCGAGCGGCAGCCTGTTCTTATCGTTGGGTATAGATGGATCAGCATTATACTGTAGTAAGAGCATGATACATCTAACAAATCTATTATATCTCTCAGGCGTCAGTTCCTCAAACATACCAAGTCCGCTATACAGGAGCGTGACGTGACGATCCTCTCTAATGGCCAGAGCGAGCAGTGTGTGCCCTTCCTCGTCAGTGACGTTAGGGTCTATCCCGGCTACCAGGAGGTTCTCAAGACTGCCAGGGTCGACATCTTCAACAACAGATATAACATTCGACAGCGTTCCTAGATGGCGACAATGAAATGCGATGGAGATACATGTTGCTAACAATTTGCTGAGATGCTAGATGTCCAGTAAGCGGGTTATTTCGATAAGGATGTCCACTGGGAGATTGGTAAAACTGCCCACTTTCGTTGGGATTTCCAGTGTATTAAGCAATGTGAGGTTGTGGATTGGACAAAGTCATCGAGATGCACGAGACTACAGAAGTAACGCGATGGCGTAGGCAACAAGAAGACGAATACCATTATGGCGATACTTTGTAAGAGATCAATGGGACCCTCCGCGGCGATGTCTTAGTCTGAAAAGAAAGACAAAGAATTTATTATCCTCACCGATATTTGCTATGTCTTGCGATTCCCCACCAGTCGTCAACCGGGACAATGAAATGTAACGGGAACAAGGGTTGAAACAAGTCAGGTGGGGTCACGGGTCTGTCGGATACTGCCTCTTCCTCTTTCATCTTTTTATCCTCATCGTCTCTTTCAATAGTCCAGACTCCAGGATAAATAATTTAGCAGATGACCCTCTTTGTTCCCCCAATTCATTACGTCGATGGCTTCATTATGACAATAACGTCGACAATTTCCAGGAATCGATCAGGGGCAAAAGTCCCAGAAACAAGTTTGCCGATGAGACTCCACGGACCCACGAGGGATTTACTTGGAACTAATAACCGAGAGAATCAATAGCGGAGCATATCCACCAATTCACGATCCATCCACTGATGCACAATTCCAGGCTAAGCTTTCTCGACTCCGAGTAAGCTTTGAATAATCGGACCTGAGCCAGCCTTCACGATTCGTCCGTCAACGTGGTGATCTCCTCACCCACTTGCTGCGCCACGAGCTGAAAACTGCGTAAGCCAGGATGGCCGCCGACCGTCCGGGCGAGCGATCTGTATGGCTACGGATCGCCGCCTGCAGGGCTAGCGAAGGCCTAAGCCTCGCCTGTGGAACAATAGCCAGTCGTCCCGGTTGCCCCTCCTCCTGACCAGATTGCCTGATTGAGCTCGGATCGTGCCGCTCGTTGAGTGCTAAAAGCGCGCCTTCCTGCCCCTCATTCCCTATTCTCGCTTCTATATTCCTGGTGAACTCCTATCCAATCTGTCTGGTATAATCCACCGCAATCATGGTTCACCTCGCTAAAGTCCACCGCAACGCTGATCTCGACAACACCATCAAGCGTGTCGACTCTATTCAATTGGAGAACACCGACGAAGATGGATTCTACTCGAGCGTCTACGGAACGCGTTTCGCAACAGAACAGCTGCCTCAGACCGAGATGCCGGAGCGGGAGATGCCCAGGGAGGTCGCCTATCGCATGATCAAGGACGAGCTGAGTCTCGATGGAAACCCAATGCTCAAGTAGGCTTTCATTTCTCATCTCTGCGGATCTATACCATTGATACTAATAAGCATAGCTTGGCGAGTTTCGTCACAACGTACATGGTAACAATTTATTCCTACTTAAATGACCACGAGAGTCCATGCTAATGGTAGCAGGAAGATGAAGCTGAAAAGCTTATGACCGAATCCTTCAGCAAGAACTTCATCGATTATGAGGAGTATCCTCAGTCCGCGGAGATCCAGAACCGCTGCGTCAATATGATCGCCCGTCTGTTCAACGCGCCTGTTGAGAGCGAAGACGAGCACCCAATGGGCACCTCGACCATTGGATCGTCCGAGGCAATCATGCTGGGTACTTTGGCTATGAAGCGCCGTTGGCAAAACAAACGCAAGGCCGAAGGCAAGGACTATTCTCGCCCGAACATCGTCATGAACAGCGCTGTACAGGTGTGCTGGGAGAAAGCTGCACGTTATTTTGATGTCGAGGAGCGATACGTGTACTGCACTGAGGACCGCTATGTGATTGATCCCCAGCAGGCGGTTGACCTGGTCGATGAGAATACCATCGGTATTTGCGCTATCCTCGGTACCACCTATACTGGTGAGTATGAAGACGTCAAGGCAATCAATGACCTCCTGATCGAACGCAACATGGATGTTCCCATCCATGTTGACGCCGCTAGCGGTGGCTTTGTCGCTCCTTTCATCAACCCTAAGCTGGAATGGGATTTCCGACTCGAAAAGGTCGTTTCGATCAACGTGTCCGGCCACAAGTATGGTCTGGTCTACCCCGGTGTGGGTTGGGTCGTCTGGCGATCCCCGGAATATCTCCCCAAGGATCTGATTTTCAACATCAACTACCTAGGAGCTGAACAGGCCAGCTTCACCCTGAACTTCTCGAAGGGTGCATCTCAGGTCATCGGCCAGTACTACCAGATGATCCGTCTCGGCAAGCGTGGCTACCGCTCCATCATGACCAACATTACTGTCACTGCCGACTTTTTGGCCCAAGAGCTCGAGAAGATGGGCTTTATCATCATGAGCCAGCGTCGCGGCCACGGTCTCCCATTAGTCGCTTTCAGACTGCCTGCTGAGCGGGAGGGTCAGTTCGACGAGTTTGCCCTGGCACACCAGCTGCGTGAGCGTGGCTGGATCGTCCCGGCGTATACGATGGCGCCCAACAGCAACAGCCTGAAGCTCATGCGTGTGGTTGTCCGCGAGGATTTCACAAAGAGCCGGTGCGACGCGCTGCTGAATGATATCAAGCTGGGCCTGAAGACGTTGGGTGATATGGATCAAGCTATGTTGGAGAAGTACACCCAGTAAGAAACCTTTATACATTTCCTTCTATTCCCTGTTAACTGAGACTGATTGAAACAGCCACGTCCGCACACACGCCACCCACTCGCACAAGTCCAAGCACAACCATCCTCACTACAAGGGAGAGACGCACTCCCTGCAGGGTAAGCATGGGAAAACTCACGGCATTTGCTAGATGTCGTTTATATTCAGGTGTACTGTGTACATATTTGAGACAGGATCTCCTTTCAGGCTTATGTATGTTACTGCTCTAATACGGTTGTACCACTCTGCTCCGTGAGCAAAATCAAGGTTCACCATCCACTTGGCACTTTCTACCTCCTCAGCTTCGTATAAGTTCCCTGTAATCGACAGCACCCATTTCACCAGAAGCCC